GAACAGACTGGGATGTTCTCCGCCCACGGTTTTACCCAGTGGGCCCTCCCATAAGACGAGGTCTCCAACTATCCTCAGTCTTTGTGGAGCGAGTCTCCCCTCTATGTGACTGATGAGAAGCTCAACATGGTCTGGTCTCTTCAGTTCCTCCGTTGCAACCTCCGGAAAGAACCTCTTTAGCTGTTCAGGTCTGACGCTCCGATGCACTTTAGCGATCTCCTCCAGGCCATAACAAAGCTCGTGAGCCCTCACAGTACCTTTAGGGGTCTTGACTCTTACTCGCAGGAGGTACCTCTTCGTCTTGACTGTCACGGTCATTCCTCCAACTCCATGCACGATCAGAGTGACTTCTTCTCTGCTCAGACCGAGCCTGTCAGCCGCTACATGAGTGATGTAGTTGGTGTCTGATGCGAGGTCAATTAGAGCTCCGATCTTCTGCCCTGCGTTGGCAGTGACTTCCAACAGCATCATGATGACAGGGTGCTCGGTCAGTCTATTATCCTCCAGAAGTCCACCTTCATCCTTCCTAGTGCTCCTTGTCACTGAAGTCTTGTTGCTGTTACTGAAAGCTTTCTTGATCCCCGCCGCCGCCTCTGGGGAACATTTGGATAAGGCTAGCTTTTGTTCTTCTGTTAGCTCCCTTACCCTCTCGCTGCCTTTTCCAAGTTTCCCCTTTGGTAGCTGTTCACATTTTGGATAGAGGAGGTAGTGGTGGTCCGAGGAGGTCCCCTCTTGGCAGTCTTCCCTGTTGCAGAGGAACCTGTCTGTGCACTCTTCTACCACATCGTGACATCCAAGACAAACGCGGCATGCTCCTACCTTCTTCACAGCAGCCTTTCTCTCAGCCAAGCCAAACCCCTTGAACTTCTTGCAGAAGAATAACTTGTTATTGTGTTTCTCAACTCCACACATGACGCACTCACCTTCTGGAGTGTCTCTTCTAGCGGATTTTGTGTAGGCATACTTCCTCTCGAACCTGTTTTGCGGCTTTTCCATTTTCTCAGATGTCTCTGTTATTTTCAGTTGTTCCAAGCTCTCTAGAATTTCTTCTTGCTCCTTCAGGAACTTCAGAAGCGCATCGAAATGGTTGACTGGGGTGACACCGTTTCCGGGCTTAGCCTTGAAGATGACCCACTCTCGCTTCACCTGGTCGGGCAGCTTGCTTTCTATAGACCTAATCATCAGCCAAAGCCTTTTCCACAGCTTGGATGAGGTCTATCACCTTCCTCGGCTGGTCTCCTTTCACAGCTGGTATCTTTTAACTATTATTAAGCTGCTTTTCGTAACTCTAATAGCTCACTAGGTCCATTTGTGTCGCTTCTGCCTCCTCATAGACCTTTTCAGCTTCCCCGATGGCAAACATCACTTTCTTTTCTCCATGCCTAGACCAAAGGTTTGCTTTAATCACTTCACTGACCTCTTCAAGCCTTTGGCTGGTCTCTCCATCCGTCTTTTCCACGTCTGCCCTCAGCTCTTCTGATACTTGGTCGTCGTCGCTATCAGCGTTCAGAATGAATTGCATCAGGTATTCACTGTTGGCCTCTGTGACCTTCCTGGCGGCCTTGAGGACTTCTCCATATTCTTTCATCAACTCCTCCTCTAACATAGTGTTCACCATCTTTGTTACTGAGTTCGCCTTACGACCTAGAGCCACCTTCGCCCTCGTCCCCAGGTCTTTCAGATGCTTCACTGTTTCCTCCCCCTTAATCATCTCTCTGAACTTAAGGTTGAGTTTAGCTCAATCTGTCTTATCCTGGCTAGCTAGCTGGATAGCTAGCTGATTAGCTTTGTTTTCTAGCCAACAGCTTGGTGCCTTTGGCTTAGCTATCTTCTCCTTTACTCACTGGTTAGCTTCGTTTGCTAACCAATAGCTTGGTGTCTTTGACTTTGATAGTTAGCTTGGGTTTGTATGCTAGCACCCTTCAGTCTGCTAGCTAGCTAGTTCTTGTCTTCTTGCTAGTTAGCTTTATTTGCTGGCAACCTTCAGTCTGCTGGCTAGCTACTGCTTCGTCTTTGCTATGCTAACGCTAGCTTCTTTGGCTAGATAGCGCCGAAAATTGCCTTGTTACTCACGTGATCCGACCACAGGGCTCGCTTGTCACCCGGTCGTCGGCTCGACTCGCGGGCCGAAGTCCCTCGGTTCTTCGTTAGCTCCGCTAGCTTTGCTAGACTCTGGCCTTCACTTCCCGCCGACTGCTGCGACCATGGGCTATCCTTGTCGTCCGGTCGTCAGCTCGACTTGCGGAACGGCGTTCCTCGGTCCTTGCTAGCTTTGCTAGCCTCGGGCCTTCACTTCCCGCCGATCGTTGCGACCACGGGCTATCCTGCTCGTCCGGTCGTCACTGTAGTCTACCTTCCTAGCTGTCTCTTGCAATCGGTTGAAACCTTTATCCCTCCCGATGCGGTTAGTTAACAACTGTGCTGTCTATCTCCCGACAGTATGGGTGAAATCAAGATGAACGGAAACAACTCCTAGTTTTGATAATTTAATCAAAATCCAAATAGGTTGTTAACCTTAGAAGAAAAAGGACAACAACAATACAACAACTAGAGAATGCAATTCCTGAAGAAATTGCTAGTGGGAATGCTTTATGCTGAAAAGCTGACGCTGAATTTCTATGCTGAAATGTAATGTGTAAGAAGAAAGTGAAGAATTTAGATTGAAATTATACATGAACACTGGGGGCTTGAATGTGTGATGAGAGAAGAAAAGAAAGTAAAAAGGCTTGGAAAAGCAGCAGAATATTTGAACTGCAAACTTTTGAACTAACTTGTTGGCGAATGATCTGTCGCCATGCCAACGGCATTCGATAACATCCCATAATACGCTTAGATGCGTTGATGGCTGCATCGTTACCAAACCTGTGAAGTTTTGGGCCGTTTGGAGCATTTTCACTGAAGTTATGAGAAAACCGTGTTTCATGGCGAGCCTTGTGTTGCCATGGCAACGACATTTGAAGAAAACTCTCACGTAGATGTCGTCACAGCTGGACTGTTAGCACACATGTGAAGTTTGAGCACTTTTTGAACATTTTCATAGGAGTTAATGTATAGCGACATCGTCTTTTATGGCGAGGGATGCGTTTCCATGGAAACGGCATATGATGACACCCCATAATTGACGTAGAGCTGTTGAGGGCAGGACCATTAACCATTATCTGAAGTCTGCTGCTCTGAGCATGTCAGTTGGAGTTATGACATCATCGTGTTCCATGACACAGGTGTTTATATTTGAGCTAACGAGGTGTCCAGAGATCAAAGGTTTCCATTGTTCTGAATGAGAGATAAACCTCTTACATGTGAACGTTTTGTTGAAGAACCGTAACAGATATCGGTTCAAAGCGTGAAGCATCTCAAGGACCTTGAGTATCTGAAGTGTGCTTTTTGTGTACTTTCGGGTCAATAATGTGGCTTTTTTGGCAGATTAACTAAAGGTGTGCGGCTGCTGCTGTGAGGAAATATCAGCCTGAAATTACAATGGGCTTTAATGGAGACATGTTGAAAGTTTTTGTCACTTCATGCCCTCAAGACGCATTTTGTTTAATTATTTTTTGCTTAATTATTTGTCATTTTTCAAGCTACGAGATGTTTTCCTACATTTGTCATGAAAAATTATGTCTCAAAAACGTAGGGTTTGGGAATTATGGCAGTTTAAAAAAAAATATGAAGGCAAATTTCAAGATTTCCTACACTCTAGCTGTGACATCACGCACTCTAGTTAATGTTAAAATCTGAAGAAGGCCTCTGTACCAAGATCTGAACAATGTTTAATATCTCTAAAAGTAAGAATCAGATTTAAAAGTTGTGACAATATAATAATCACACTTACTAGTGGCCTCTCCTGATTCTTCAATCTCAATGACGTTCATTTATTTATCCCCTCTATTTATAACATATCAATAAGCCCTGCGAATCTCCACCCAGATTTAAAGTCACACTCACATAAACTGAACCCCATTAATTGAACCCTCATACAACCAGCACAAAACATGAGTTTACAGCACAATTACTATTAACTTTATTATGAAATTAAAACAGAACGGTAAAAGAATAGTTTCCGGTCTATTCTGAGGCCCAATCTCTGTAGATAAATAAAGAACTACGACAGTTGTGTAATATTTAATGCAGCCGAACCATTTATTACAATGCATTTATGTGATGACTTTCAAAGAGTAAAGCAAGCACTAGCTGAATAAAGTATGATTTTATCTTTTACGAAACGTTTTTTTTCATATGTAATACAGTCGGAGGTCAACCAATCACAGAGCTTGAGGACTAATCACGGGGTTTGTCGAGCAAAGCGCATGGTGTAGTCTCAAACGATAGCTGAGGATTATGGGTAGTGTAGTGTCTTCGGCCATCCTAAACTCCGATACAACTATTTGTTTCTCAGAGTCGAAGGGGATAAAACACAAAACCATTGTACACAATTTAAAATGTTGTGTAATTAACAAGGATAATCTGGTGTTTTTGAGTTGATGAGTAGTGCAGATATCACTGTAAAATCAATCGACAGTAAGGAGAATACTTATTTCCGGGTGTAAAATTCTCCGTTAAGCTCTTTGCGTCCGTTTATGAAGCTGAAGGGGACTCGGTGCGTCACAACTGCACGCCAAAGGACCCTGACTAAGCGTCGCTATTGGACTATCAGGGAGTGAGACTGTGTTGGTGTACGAGGTTTCGTGTCCGTTACCCATTCCAAATCAAACAAACGTATTTAATGCATCATAGGCCACGCCCACATTCCTCAAACTATATGACCTGTCAGAATAGAGTTAATGCTCCCGAGAGCATGCGTATCAAATTTAGTTAAATATGCTAAGGGACTCAAAAACACGCTCTCGCGTGAGAAGAATAATAGAATGAATTCTCAACAAGAACAATAGGTTTCCTCACAATTCGTGCAAGGACACCGCTGGGTCCTAGTGCTGGGTCCCAGCACTCTCATGCTTGGGCCCTAATAAACAATATCAACATTAAACAACAAACCCTTGACTCACCTGAGTACCTGTGGCACGGCAAACATGAAGGCATCATGCAGTAGGAGACACAGTGTCCCACGCAGGAAGTACATCCCAAAGCGTCGCCCCAGAGCCTGCATGAGGAAGATGCAGTTGCCTTCCCCTTTCCTGCTTCTCCTCAGCAGCTGAGTTTTTTCTGTTGGCAAGTCAGAACCTGAGTGCCGGGACCATGACAGTCCAGAATTAGCAGGTTCTTCCCTGCAGAACATTAGAACAAAGAAACTGGTACAGATAACTTTTGGAAGTGAAGACCTTAACTTCTAACATGGTTCACTATATATATGTTTCAGGAAGAAGATATGTGTTTAATTCCAGCAGCAGCTTTACCGACCAATCGCAGTGAAGGAATCAGGGTCGCAGTGTGACATTCCACAGATGTGAGTGTCATTGGGTAAGAACAGATATGCTGCATTTCTTTTTTGAGTTATCAGATTCATTATTGAAATGGCCGCTGGCGTTGCTTGTCCGCCGCTCCAGCACCTAAGTCCTATTTGTTTTATTGTTTCCAGTCCAGATTTGAAAAAAAAATGTTGCCTGGCTAAAACAACAGTTAAATGTTAATTAACATCAGTATCATTTTGTATTACATCGATATACCGAATCGCTACTTTTGTTACTTCACGCTGCTGTCACCAACCTGCTGGCTCATCGGTTCCTAGTTCGCTAGCTAGCAGACCCTTAGCCATCCGGTGGATACAACGATAAACTGAATACTCTCGTCTCTACCTGAGCTCCACGGCTTGTCTCACCGGAGTCTCTCCATCCCGGTCTGGTCAGCCTACCTGCTCTCGTCCCCTCCTCGGGCTTCCCCCGCTGACGCCCTCCCTCCCAGGCGGTCATCGGCCAGTGGCTATCAAGCTAGCTAGCAAGCTAGTGGGCTAGCAAGCTGGCGGGCTAGTCGCCCGGCATCCATTCTCCGCACGGACGTCAGTCACTCCTTCCCACCTCTCCTCCGCAAACCGCTGACATCGTCCTCCTGTGATGCTGTGGATTATCCTGTGGCTTATACCCGGGCTCACACCACTTCTTCTGCCACGGTCATCCGGCCCCTGGTTTCCGGCAACAGCTAGCTCTGTGCTAGCACCCACACCCCCCGAACATGCCACCGCTTTTCTCCGCTTCAGACCTCCACTCTCTGAATAACCACCTGCCTCCTGATTGTATGGACATCCTCAAGGAGACAGGTTTACTCCGCGGACGACAGCCTCCACACAGAGGCTCAGGCCGTAAGTTTTTCTTCCACTCTACATCTCCACATTCCATCCCGTCCATCTTGTCGTGCCGCACTTCCGCATTACGCCACAACAACAACAAACAACACGTGAATCTGACCAATCTCCGACCACTTCCCAGGTCCAGCCATCCCATCACAACGCAACGCCCTCTAAAAACACCCGCACCATGAACAATAAAAGCCACATTCTAAACAAATTCATAACGGACAATAACCTGGATTTCCTCTTTCTCACTGAGACCTGGCAAAAACATCTGGACTATTTTTCATTAAACCAAGTCACTCCATCAGGATTCACCTATTTTGACAAACCGCGTCTACAAGGACGGGGTGGTGGTATTGCTGCTATTTTTAGGAAGGATATGAAAGCCACCACCATCTCCATCCCTGATATTCCGTCATTCGAGCACCTGATATTCAAACTCTCTGGTCCCACTCCCCTGGTCACAGCCATCATTTACCGCCCTCCAAAACAAAATCCCACCTTTTTCTCCGACCTCTCTGACCTTCTAACCCAGCTATGCGCAATATCTCCATCTGTGCTCCTCGTAGGGGATTTCAATATCCACATTGATGGCCAAACCAGTAAATATGCCATTGAATTTCTGGAAACTCTACAATGCTTAAACTTTACACAGCACATCAACTTCCCCACACACAGCCGTGGACACATCCTGGGCCTAGTCTGCTCCACTGGTCTCACCACCCACCACCTATCCAGCCTCGACCTTCACATCTCCGACCACCTGCCCATCACCATGGACATTAATATCCCCATCCAAAAACACAAGTGCACAATAACCTTCAGAAACCTTAAATCCCTGTCTTCCTCAGCACTCTCAGCCTGCATCACCTGAAAGATGTCTGCCTTCCCTCCCCCCCCCGCCTGACAATCCATGTCAACTGGTGGACTACTACAACACCACCCTCTCCTCCTGTCTTAATGAACTGGCCCCCCCCCCCAAAAAAAACGGTCTCTTTCACACATTCAGCTCTCTGGTACACCCCGAACTCCGCCAAATGAATCACAAAAACGCCAACTGGAATGCCTTCACAAGAAAACCACTCTAACAGTTCATCTCCATGCCTACACCGACTACTAACAGTACAATAACGCACTCAAAGCAGCCCGGTCCAACTACTACTCACAACTGATACACTCCGGCTCCAGCAACCCCAAGGCTCTGTTCTCCACCATCAGCACACTCCTTAAACCCTGTGACTGCCTACCTCCCATCTCCCAACTCATAACCACAATCATTAACTCCTCCCTCTGCTCTGGATCAGTCCCCCCCTCACTCAAACTGGCTGCTGTTACACCCATACTGAAAAGACCTGGACTCACACCTGACATCATGTCCAACTTCCGGCACATCTCGAATCTCCCCTTCCTATCAAAACTACTCAAATGTGTTGTAGCCTCCCAACTGAAATCCCACCTCAGCTCCAATAACCTGTTTGAACCCTTTCAATCAGGATTCCGCACAAAACATAGCACAGAAACAGCCCTCCTCAGAATCACTAACGACCTCCTCCTCTCCTCAGACTCTGGCAACCTCAACATCCTCATCCTCCTCGACCTCACAGCAGCGTTCGACACCATCAACCACACCATCCTGCTGTCCCGCCTGGAATCATCACTTAACATCACCGACACTGCACTCTCCTGGCTGAAATCCTACCTCACCAACTGACATCAGTTTATCAACATCAATAACTGCACCTCCTCCACTGCCCCTCTGTCCCAAGGCGTCCCCCAGGGTTCGGTGCTTGGTCCCCTCCTCTTCATCCTCTATATGCTCCCCCTTGGAAAAATCATCCGCCGCCATAACCTTCAGTATCACTGCTACGCAGATGAAATCCAACTCTAAATCTCCACAAAAACTATCACTGCCACAACTCACTCCACACTCACCAACTGTCTCTCAGAAATTAAATCCTGGATGCAAACAAACTACCTTCAACTGAACAGCGACAAATCAGATATTATCATAATCTGACCCACATCCTGCATCACCCAGAACTTCAACCTCACCCTTGACAACACCACTCTAACCCCCTCTCCTCACATTCGCAACCTTGGAGTTATTTTTGACAGCCAGCTCAAATTCGATAAACACATAAACCATATCACCAGGACCGCCTTCTTCCATCTAAAACATTGCCCGCCTCCGCCCCTCACTCTCCTTCCCGGCTGCTGAAACCCTCATCCACGCATTCATCACTTCAAGACTGGACTACTGTAACAGCATCCTGTATGTCTCATCATCCAAAATTCTAAATAAACTGCAATATATCCAGAACTGCGCTGCCCGCCTCCTCACCCACACCCGCTCCAGAGACCACATCACCCCCGTCCTTCAAAACCTGCACTGGCTCCCTGTCCGTCAACGAATACACTTCAAAATCCTTCTGCTAACACACAAAGTTCTCAATAACCAGCCCCCCTCCCCCTACCTCACCGACCTGATCCACCACTACACCCCTTCCTGCAGCCTTCGTTCATCAGAAGCCAACCTCCTCTCTATCCCCACACGAACCAAGCTCCGAACCTGGGGGGACAGAGGCTTCTCCATCGCTGCCCCCACCCTCTGGAACTCCCTTCCACAACACATCAGAGACTGCACCGACCCCCCCACTTTCAAAACACTGACCAAAACACACCTCTTCAGACTGGCTTTTAATTTGTGAATTATGTTGTGTTGCTGTTTTAATATATATATATTTTTTTATTCTATTATAATATGTGTTGCTGTTTTAATAATTTTTTATTCTATTTTATCTCGTTTTATCACCACTGTAAAGCGTCTTTGAGCACCTGAAAAAGCGCTTGGAAATTTAATTTATTATTATTATTATTATAAGATTCAAAGGTTTGAATGTCCTATGCACACTAGATACAGTGTAGAAATGGCAATACAAATGTTAAGTCCCAAGCTCCTCCAACAATGCAACATCATTATACAACCCACATCTAACCCTAACCCTATAAATAAATTATAAAAATAAAATAAAAATAGTGCAAGAAGAAGCAGAGTATAATGGAATAGTGCAGATTATGTTGCAGACCAATGTACAAGTAATGAAGATGAAGTCCACCCTGGATGCCTCCAAGAGATGAACCCCGTTATTGAAGCATAATCTGCGGCCACTGATTTAATGACACAAATATAACTCTCGATTGATCGAGGTTTGTCTGTGAGCTTTCCTCTTTGAATAGATTGAATGACAGAACAGCTTTTCGTTTACAGTAAGGTTTCCCATTATCCCAAATTACACTGTAGATCTTCAAGGAACTCAAATCGGCCATTTTGACGAAAATAATGTCTGACTGCTTTGTTTCCTTATTAATAATTTACATTGTAGGCTTTGACTTGAAGCACGTTAATGTGCTTTAAAAAGCTCTGAATATCTATTTTCAAATGATGCCTAACATTTTATTGTCGACTGTCGATAGAGTATTTTTTTATCCAACTTGCTATCATATTTACAAAGGTTTAACTTGTACCACTCTTTTATTAAAATACTTTGTTATAAGTCATAGTATGGACAGATGATTCCTAAATCCTGAAATCTGAACAACCCATTTTTCGGAAATCAGTATAGCATGCATATCTTTACAAATACACCTTCTTCCTAAATGTAAAGTTTCGTACTGCAGCTGTTTGCAGTTTTGGGTGCAGAACTTCTCCAGGTCTGTCATTATCTCGATGGATGAGTTCTGGTCCTGCAGAGGCCAGAGGTCTGCAGCCTGTAGGGGGCGCTGGTACCCCCGGATCACCAAACTGACAGGAAGAAAAAACACACTCTTTTTATCATAAATTAGGTAATTCAGAATCAGAATCAGACCCTGGTTTATTGCCAAGTACAAGGAATTGGCTTTGTTGTATTTGATGCCTACATAAACACAGTCAAAGAAGATACATTTTAAGAAAGGATCATAAAATAAAACAATGATAAAAAACTATTTTAAGAAAACTATAATAACATTAAATATAGCAATATTTACATGGAATATGAATTAAATGTATGTATATATATTTATCATTTATATTGTGTGCATTCATGTAATGCATAGAGTCTATGATGTGGCTGAGGTAAAGTGTCAGTGGGGGGGCCGGGCCTTGTTAATGAGGCTGGTAGCAGAGGGGAAGAAACTGTTCTTATGGCGAGAGGATCTGGTCCTGATGGACCTCCTGCCAGAGGGGAGGGGGGTGACCATTGATTGACAGTTTTAGAATGAACCTGCTCCATGTCTATAAGACACTGTTTGATGAATGTTGACATGTTTCTAAATATTGATTGAATTATAACAGGTAACACAGATGCAGAAGCAGTGGCCAAGGGGCTACTGTGAGAGATGTAAGTCCAGAATGGGAATACCAAAGAAGTTGACCTGAAAGAAAGACTGATTCTTATTATTACATTATAAGCTTATTGTGCTCATTTTATGTTGCTGTGACTTTGGAATAAATAGACATCTTCAGCTTGCAATACTAACGTAGCAAGGCAGGTGCAGACACTGGAAGAATACGAAGAGTTATTCATAAACAGGACATCACTCCGGCCTTGAGCTTTGGGTGAGCTCCACTCCCACACATAGCTAGGAAGCAGCCTTATGAAGATTCCACTTATTCTGTAGAAACGTTAGCGAAAACAAATTACGTATGATGGTGCCAGAGTAGGGAGGGACTTCCACAGGCCGGCCGAATGCTGATTGGAGGATCGTGTTGCCAAGAGACCTTTGTCAAAGTCTGTGCACCTACCAAAGAGAACCAAGTCTAAACCATGGTATCTCTTCAGCTAGTCTTGACCAATCATAAATGTACGGGCAACGGCCTGTGTAATAAAAATGTATGCACGCACAAGGTTCGAGGCTCTTTCTGGAAATAGTGGTTACAGATTACAGCTTTGCTGCCTGTAGTTTCTATGACATGACGTAGTCCTTGGCCAAGTGAATATATATCTTTTGCTCTCTCATAATAAATAGTTAAACTTAAAAGTCGTCTGTCTTTCCTGGAATTTTGAACACAACATGTACAGCAGTGGTCTTCACTATTTTTTACATGCGAACCGCATTGATGGACAAATTCAATGGGAGAGCCACTTATACCGCAAAGTATGAAAAGCTGATTACAGTTATAATAAGCATGTCTGCTTATTAATCTGTCATCCCACCCAGACGGGCCCGGCGCATTGCCCCCTCAGTTGTATTCTTTGCCCCCCTCACTTTGAGCAGGCCCGATTTTCTAACGCTGTGCATGCAGTAGGCGTTGGACTGGAAGTACCGGAGACCATAAACGGTTTTGAAAACTTCTGTCACGTAGTGATCATCTTCTCAATAAAATATCTTTGCTGATGTTTTTTCAAGTCTTCTGGCCAATCAGAATCAAGATTGTTTTATTTTTATTATATTTTTTATTATATCATAACTTTTGTTGTTGTTGCTTTAATACTTTTTAATGCATGTAACATATGTAACATTAAGCTGTCTGTGGCTCTTTTTCTGCTGTAACAACATACATTTCCCCTCTGTGGGACTAATAAAGGTATTCTGATTCTGATTAATAAATGTAAGATGTCAATTAATTCAAGTTTAATGTTACTATTAAAAAGACAGTTCTATATGAAATACTTTTTATTTTAATTGTCGCAACTGGTGGCATCAATGTGTGCATTTGATACAGATACAGGAGCAGTTGTTTTAGGGCGTTATATATAGCCCTTAAGCCTTAAGGGTTATATAAAGCCCTTAAGGCTATATATAACCCCCCACCTACACACAGAGCCCCCCCTCATATCAAATATCAATTTAACCCCTGGGAACAGGACAAGGCGCTCAAAGGACTTCATAACCACAGAGGTCAGGGCGATTGGGTCTGTTGTCATTTAATAATACTATAATTATTCTAAATAAAAACAAACAATTTCTTGTGCGCTTCAGTTACTTTGATATTTTAAGTTCCAATTTATGGTTTGTTTTTGCAGGTTGAATGTTAAAGATGTGTAATCTAACGTGATGTTATAAGATTATAAAACAAAAAAATGTATCAGCTGATGTTCTCACCTGCTAAACCAGAAGAAGAAAAATTTGGAGAGAAATGATGCATCTTCTTCTGGACATCGGTTCTAAAAAAAAAGAAGTGTTTTTTAATGACCCATACTTAATATCTAGTAAAGACAAATCACAAATAATCTAAGAAGCGTTAATATTTGCCGCACAGTGCCTTACGATTTTATTGATCCAGGTCAGATTCGAGGGCAGCATGAACAGATTGAGAAATGTTTGGCTTTATGTTTATTCAATAACCTTGTTATTACTGACTCACTGCTGCCGTACAGAAATGATTGTTCGGTCTGACTATCCGGTGACCCATCAAGGTGTCTGTTACCCAGATGCAGGTGTGTGGGAGAAAACATCAGTATTAAAACTAATGACAACTTCAAAGAAAAGTAATCTTGCATGTTACCTTGACAGAGGTGTGATTGTTACCTGCTCAAAAGTGTGTGTGTGTGTTACCTGGACGTAGGTGTGTGTTACCCAATCAAGTCATCAATTCACGAGTCCAAGTCACTCTTGAGTCCCCTCTTTCCGAGTCTGAGTCCAAGTCCGAGTCACTTAGGGAGAGTCGGAGTTGAGTCCGAGTCCAAGTCCGAGTCACTTAGGGAGAGTCGGAGTTGAGTCCGAGTCCAAGTGCGAGTCACTTAGGGAGAGTCGGAGTTGAGTCCAAGTCCGAGTCATCATTACCTGTGTTCGAGTCGGAGTCCAAGTCCGTAGACTTTTTCAGTAGACTCGACTACTGCAATAGTGTATTCACAGGGCTAAAAAAAATTCATCAGAAAGCTGCAGCTGATTCAGAACGCTGCTGCACGTGTCCTCACTAACACCAAAAGAGTGGATCACATCAGTCCGGTTTTGAAATCTTTACATTGGCTTCCAGTCGGCCAAATAATTGATTTTAAAGTACTATTGCTAGTTTTTAAATCATTACATGGTTTAGGACCAAAGTATATGAGTAACAACAAAACATGGAGAGGCAGCATTTAGCTATTATGCGCCGACACTCTGGAACAAACTACCCAAATCATGCACGTCCGCAGAAACGCTTACCATTTTTAAATCGAGACTAAAAACATATCTCTTTGCCGCTGCTTTTAATTGAGCTGCTCATATTCGAACTACAGTATGCCTTTTAAACATGTATTGTATACCTGTGGTGTTTATTTTTATTATTTTATTATCTTTGCTTTGTAATGCCTGTTGTAAAATGCCATTATATAATGTGTTTTTAGTTACTGTATTTATTCATAAAAAGTATTTTAATTTGTTTTGTAAAGCACTTTGAATTGTCGCGTACAGAAAAGTGCTATATAAATAAACTTGCCTTGCCTTGCCTTGCCTTGCCTTGCCTATAGAATGATCACACCGGTGTGACAGTACTCTTCAAAGGGTTCACGAAATATGACTACTACTCTTACTGTTTAACATTTTGGGTTACTTAATGTTACTTCATGTTAAGGCTAATAAAAATGACAAGGCTAAGGCTGTAATGCTAACTAACGTGCTTGCTACTAGCTAGGTAGCTAACTTGATCCAGCCACTCCTGAGGCCTGTACTACGAAGCTGGATTTTCGCTTAGCCGGCTGACTTCAGGGAAAACTCGGGCTTTCCGGTCCTACGACGCTGGTTCTCTTTTTAGCGGGCTAGATCTCCATGGTAACTTATGCTGAGCGGCTAACCTCCTCGGGAGGAGGTTAGGTTGCAGGCTAAGAGATCAACTCAGTGAAAGCACCGCCTGCTGACCAATCAGAGCTCAGTGTGCGGAGTTTAAAGCTATCAATTCATATTACAGGATAGAGGAAATACAGAAAAACTGCCGTTGCAGGAAAGACGGCCGGCAAAAATCAACTGACTGTGTGAACGTGAAAATTAATAGAATATCCCCTCCCATCTTCAGAGCAATCTGACTATTATAACATTAGCGTTAAGAAAGCTTACTTAAATATCTGCCACAACATAAGTAACCAGATCAGAGTAACATTAAGTACAGTCCGCGGCACTGTGAGTGCAGACGTCGATGTGTCCCATTATCATTCATATCATATCACATCATAATGTATCATATATTTCCTTATTTGAGTCAGCTTCTTGAGCCGTATCTGGCCGTGCGACACTCAGTGTCACATACTGTATGCAGAAGTATTATTTTAAGCAACACATTAAGTTGACGAAACACTAGAGTCAAATGTAATTAAAGTCAGATCGTGTCTTAGCAGTGATATCATAAACCTGTTAATTTACGCATTCAAACGCTTTTTCTTTTACCAGCTGTATTCACCTTGCAGGTGCAGCTATGTGGCTTTTATCCTGGATAAAGTGTTTAAGTCATGGATGTTTAAAGTTTAACTTCTTCATATTTGACTAATATTAAAGTTCACTTTTCATTCAGGAAGTATGACGCTGCGCTGTCAGTACGCTTGTCCATGTTTGAGATTGGTCGAATGCTCCAAATACCACCCCTTTCATGTGAACGCGCACCTAACTAGATAGGACACGGCTGGCTTGAGCGATCCACTTGATAACCAGCGTCGTAGTACAGCTTAGCGAGAGCGCGTATGTTTTGGATTGGGCCAACCGGCTAACTCAAACATATCCAGGTTAGGTTGAACCAGCTTCGTAGTACAGGCCTCTGGTCCTTTCATCAGACGGGATTGCTGGTATGATAACAACCTGGTACTAAGCACACAGGCATCTTGTTAAAGTTATCTTATCTTAGCTATCTCTTATATCTAGTGGAGGAAAACAATTGTGACATGACACTTACGTGACTCTGGGATTTGTAGTCTTTCTAGTTGCGTATTTTTCATAGTCTTATATTTCAACAGTTTTACGACAAACTGTGACTTTTTTGACATGGAAATGATTTTTTAAGATTGACAAACATCATATGTGTAATTCATGGCACAATTCAAACAGGATCGAAAGATACGTTTTCTCTCTCCATTGACTTCAATACATAATTTTTCCGAAATAAGGTCCCATGGACCGGAAGTAGATGGGCGTGACTTCGCCACTCTATTTATTGATTTGATCACATTACTCTGATGACAGTGTTCAACAGCCTACCTATATGTCTGAACTCGATCCTTAGAGTAATGTGTTACGGAGCCTTCTCTTCAATCTTTTTTCCACATAACGAGCATTTTGCGCTGCTTTTTTCCCAATGTCGAAGCTACATCTGTGAAAGCATACAGCACGATGCGGGGTGTGTCTCTGGACATCTTTAGACTGGAACAGCGGGGTCGCGGCCAGTACGTGAACTCACCTTGCAGGTGCATACGCCAGGACAGAGTACATCTGACTCGAGACAAAACTTGCTCGAATCCGAGTCCAAGTCGGAGCGTCAATGTACAAGTTGAGTCCGAGTCATCGTGGGCGGAAAATTCACGAGTCCTAGTCAGAGTCATCTTGCGCGAGAATTCACGAGTTCGAGTCTGCATCAATCAGTGCGCGAGTCGAGTCACGAGTCCCGAAAATCGGCAGTGGAATCAGTACTCCATATTCTGGTGTTACCTGGATGTAGGTGTGTTTCACCTGGATGTAGATGTGTGTTACCTGGATGTAGATGTGTGTTAACTGGATGTAGGTGTGTGTTAACTGGATGTAGGTGAGTGTTACCTGGATGTAGGTGAGTGTTACCTGGATGTAGGTGAGTGTTACCTGGATGTAGGTGTGTGTTACCTGGATGTAGGTGAGTGTTACCTGGATGTAGGTGAGTGTTACCTGGATGTAGGTGAGTGTTACCTGGATGTAGGTGAGTGTTACCTGGATGTAGGTGTGTGTTACCTGGATGTAGGTGTGTGTTACCTGGATATAGGTGAGTGTTACCTGGATGTAGGTGTGTGTTACCTGGATGTAGGTGTGTGTTACCTGGATATAGGTTTGTTTTTCAGAGAGCGGTCGGTGATCAGAGAAGCAGCTGAGGATGAGCTCAATGAGTTGGAGGGAAAAACAAATGAAAAAGGCCACAAAACGAAGAGCGTCTGAAGAGAAACCCTGAAAAAGCAGAAAGCAGAGAAACATACGTTCTAAAACTAAAGAATCACAACATGGAAGAACAGTAATCTTAAATCAAGTGGAACAACATATTTGAATTGAATTTCCCATGCATAAAATACAAAAACAACTTTGCAATTACATCAATATTTTTTTATTATATCTGATTTTTTATAGATTAATCTGTATTATAAAGTGTGATGATTTATGTCTGTATGTCATGTGAAAAAAAACGAAACAGAGAACATGTCATGTTGAGAAAGGATATCTGATATCTATAACAATAATATTAATAATGATACATTAAAAAAAAGGTTAATACCTGCTCAATAATCTGCTCAATATCAACCTTCAGAGGAACTAGGGAGCAAAGAACCAGAAGAGTCCAGAACAGGAAAAGGAGCACAGAGGAGCGCATGGCCTTTATCCTCTCTACCTGGATTATTACCACAGCAAGAACCTGAGCAGGAGAGGAGGAGGGGAAGAGGAAGATGAGAGGACGAGGAAGAGGAGGAGGAGAGGTGGTAAGGAAGACATGAGGAGGAGAAGGTGGACAAAAGGAAGAGGAGTAATAGAGGGAGGAGGAGGAGTCAGTGTGTTTTTAACAACAGATGTTTTGTTTGTTGTCATGGCTCCTGGTGGTTTACCAGCGTCAGACTCCGGATCAGCGGACCCATCAGGATAAGGAGGTGATTATGGATCTCCTCATTTTTCTTCACCAGGACGTAAAACATCTCCAGGAGCCCAAAAGAGGCCAGAGTAAGTGTCAGGAGCTGCAACAGAGGCCGGGTCTTTTATTGTGAAAGGCAAGGAGGAATTACAAGCTACAAGAATGTACCCTAACCCTAAACCTGAGGGAAACTGATTCACCTCAGAACCTTGGCTCTGTTCTCATACCGTCTTGCTGCAGCAGAGTTTGGACAGCTGGATGACCCCTCGGTGTGGGCGAAGCTGCAGGTACAACAGGTAAAGAGGAGAACAGGTCCACAGGTAAACACAAGGAAACCATACCAGGACTGTGTGCTGGAAACACTTAGTGAGGTCGGGTCTGGACGTGTACCAGGTCAAATTCCAGTCCTGAAATCAGAAAAAACACTGTTCGAACATCACAAGTCTCAAGTAAAGTGTTCGAGGAGCCGGTAAACACTCAGGCGAGAACACTTTTAGCTTTTAGGCCGAAGTGTATGGGTCAACAGGTACACAGGTGAGTGATGTGTAAGGGGCATAGGCGTCATTTGCAAAAGTAAACTAAATTCCTCCTGACTGCTGACTCTAAAATGACCCAATAACATGCAGCCATGTTGTTTGGCCTGTTTGCCTGAAGTGGATGTTGTCTTTTTGCTTTATTTCCTTGTCAGAGAGTACCAGAATGTGTAGTTTACATGTTACAAGAAAAACAAATCTTCTGGGCGACGATCCCCCCTGCAGGGGTTCAGTTTGCAAACATCGTTTTCATAACATGCGAGTGTGCATTTGCGTCGCTGTGGAGAACAGGCATGTTGAAGACTCTTACAATAAGACAGGGATCTTTGGCTTCCTCAATAATTGTCCCTGGCCACATATACATATATAATGGTTCCTATTGTTGGAGTCGGGACGGCTGATAATTTATTCCGGCAAATTACTCAGACCTACTAATTGACCTAGCAGAAGTTATTGAGTCTATGTAAGTTTACTGCTTGGCTCAGATCCACCAACGTCAGCAAGATCTCACCTCTATTAACTCCTGAAGAACCAGGTTCAATTAACTGCTGTTTCAATTCAGACGACCCGCTAAATCTGTTTAAGCGATCCCGAAGGATTTTCATATCAGAATTTCCTCACAGGTGGCGGGAGACTAACATTCACAAACACACATCAATTCATTCCGCTCATTCAACCAAGAAATTCACTCCGCATAGAAAGAAACGCACAGCGACACTTTAAACGGGACAGACTGGAGGAGGGAGTGGGATGGGGAGGTGGTCTTAAGTGGTCTTAGCAGCACCAGTGCAGGAGTGGCAGTCCTGTTTGCTAAAGACTTTATCCCCAAGTCCCACACAGTGGAGGAAAGAGTAAAGGGCAGACTGTTGGTGGTGAGAGCTAACTTTGAGCTTTTTAATCTGGTTTTTATCAATGTATACGCTCCTAATTCAGGTCCTGCCAGAGTTCAGTTTTTAAAGGAGCTCAGCGCTGTTTTAAGTGAGTGTGAACCAGAAGAGTTTTTATTTTTAGGGGGAGATTTTAACTGCACACAGAACGACGAGTTAGATAGGAACCATAGGGAACCTCATGCTGCATCCAAAAGAGCCATGACCAGTGGCGACTGGTCATTAGGGGCAGGTGGGGCACAGCCCCACCTAGTGTCAGCAGAAAGTATTACGAATAATGATTAAAAAAAAATGCAAAAAATAAATAAAAATATAAAATATATTTCAAGATCATGTTTAATCATCTGATTCGTCTGTACATTGGTGTTTTAGTCTGTGTTCTTCTAATTAGTGTGTCTACAGTCACAGTGTGTGCCTATTGAGCTGTTTAGAGCCATGTGGGACAAAACCTGATCATGCCCCTCCCTCTCACTGTCTAAGTGAACGGTGACTGTAAAAACTACACTGCGCATGCTCAGAGTATTTTCCTATTTAATGTGTGTGGCAAAAAAATAATGACCATAGGGGCACTGAGCTGCCATCCCCACCATACGTCATCTCACATAATTCAGAGCTGATTGGCTGTAAGTACGTGTGCCGCGAAAAGTGTGGTGTGTGAAGAGGAGACGAGAGAGCTGCAGTGACGCGTCCTAAAACCAGGAAGTAAGCTGCGCATGGCTTCCCTCGACAAAAAAGCAATTAGGTTTCTCCATAGGATTTTAGAAAATAGCTCGAAATAAGATCTGTGGGAAACGTACCTGTTAGATAAATGCACGTTTTGTTCAGCCGGATAACATCCACATGTCTACCCTACTTTTATAATTTTTTTATCATAAATCTATCGATTAGATTTATGATAGACTTTTGAAACTACAAGAAGATAAGGAGGACTTTTACAAAAAAGTTATAGACATTTTTGTCCAGAAGGATAGGCAAATGGACTTCATCTTCAAGTCAAGGTAAGACCGCAATTTTATTGAAAATGGGATCTTACTAAGAGAGAACAATTCAATATTTAAATGATAAAATTACATTTTTTGGGTATCCTTTTGTTGAACTGTCTGTTTAAAATTAATCGAAGCATCAGACAAAAAAAGCTTTTGAAAATAATATTATATTTTGGTTTAGGTCAAAATATAATATTTGTAAACCTGAAGAGTCAGTGCCAGTGCCTCACCAGCCATGAACCTCACTGCACGTCACTGCAGAAGCTTATATATAGACATCTAAGTTTTTTGTGCCCCACCACTTTTGTACATATAAAAACGCCACTGGCCATGACACAGTTAATAGCAACACATAGTCTATCAGACATATGGAGAGAGCATCACACACATCACAGATAGTACACATGGGTCCACACTAGGGAGAACCTTTTATCAATGGCTAGGCTAGACAGGTTTTACTGTTTTAAGCACCATTTTAATGGTGTGCTATATTGCCTGTTGGTTTCTCTGTGTGATGTTTTTATTGCCAACATAAAAAGCAAATCTGCGTATTGGCATTTTAACACTGCTCTGCTTTTAGATACACATTTTAGAGAGGTTTTTATTTATTTTTGGAAAGGTTTTAGAGAAAGGAAGGGGGATTTTAACTCATTGAAGCAGTGGTGGGATTGTGGGAAAGCCGACATCAAACAGCTTTGTCTTCAGTACACTCTCAATGTTTCTCGTGACATCACCAAGTCTATGAGAGATCTGGAGATGGAAATAGTGGAACTGCAGAGCTTTGCAGAGTCCACAGGAAATCCAGGTTGTATTGAAGACCTAAAATCTAAAAAAGCCATTTTGGCAGACCTGCTGGCTTCCAGAGCACAGGGGGCGCTGGTCCGGTCTCGATTCCAGAGCGCTTCCCTGATGGATTCACCAACAAAGTACTTCTTCAGTCTGGAGAAGAACGGGCAGGGCAGGCTGATCCACGCTCTGAGGTCAGCAGGAGCGCAGCAGCTGACAGGAAACAGCCAGATCCGGCAGAGAGCGGTGGACTTCTACTGCGACCTCTTCACCAGTCAGTACACCGAAGATGATGGAGGTTTTAATCTGTTCTGCAGGGGCCTACCAACAGTCTCTGAAGAGACAAAAAAAGAGCTGGACGGGCCCCTGACTGAGGAGGAACTGTGTGCAGCACTCAAGAGCATGCAGGGGGGGAAGGCCCCTGGAATAGATGGCCTCCCCCCAGAGTTTTACAAGACATTTTGGGACTTTTTAAAAGAGGATCTAATGGACCTTTTTAATGAAAGTTTTAATTACTCTTTACTCCCTCTGAGCTGCAGATGAGCAGTTTTAACCCTCCTTCCGAAAAAAGGTGACCTGCAGGAAATAAAGAACTGGAGGCCCGTCTCTCTGCTGTGCACCGACTACAAGCTGCTGTCCAGGGCCCTGTCCTCCAGGCTGAGGAAGGTGATGGACCAGGTGGTAGACCGGACCCAGACCTACTGTGTGCCCGGCAGGTCTCTGGTTCATTGGGTTTCGACACTGGTCTGGTTTCATTGGACCAGGAAAAGGCTTTCGACCGGGTTGAGCACCGTTACCTGTGGAAGGTGCTGGAGAGGTTCGGCCTCAGCCCGGGCTTCATCGCCATGATAAAGGTGATGTATGTGAACATTGAGAGTGTGCTTAAGATAAATGGCGGTCTGTCTAGACCCTTTAATGTGACCAGGGGGATAAGACAAGGCTGCTCGATGTCAGGTATGTTGTACACACTGGCAATAGAGCCCATGCTACACAATATCCGCTCTTTTAATGAGGGCCTGTTTTTACCTGGTTTTGATACACGTTTTATTTTATCGGCCTATGCAGACGACATCATTGTTTTTATGAAAAATCAACAGGATGTTTTAAAGCTAGGGCAGGTAGTGGACACGTTTCAAAAGCTCTCCTCTGCAAAAGTCAACTGGGCCAAAAGTGAGGCCCTAGCAGTGGGGGAGTGGACTGGTGGCCTCCCTCAACTCCCAGGTGGGTTGACTTGGAAGAGGGGTGGCATCAAATATTTGGGGGTCCATCTTGGAGATGAGGTCGCACTGGGGAAAAACTGGGAAGGAGTTTTAGAAAAGGTGGAGGGGAAACTCAACAAGTGGCGCTGGTTACTTCCCCACATGTCATACAGAGGCAGGGTGCTGGTCATCAACAACCTGATAGCATCCAGCCTCTGCCATAAGCTCAAGTGTGTGGACCCCCCTGCTGGTTTGGGACAAGTTGCACTGGGTTCCTCAGTGCACGCTGTACCTACCAAAGGAAGAGGGGGGGCAAGGGTTGGTGCACCTATAGAGTCGAGCAGCTGCTTTTAAACTACAGTTTTTACAAAGATACCTGACAGGAAACGATGATGTCGTCTGGAGGCTAGAAGCCAGCACCATTTTAAGGGGGGTAGCAGGCCTGGGTTTGGATGCGTCATTGTTTTTAACAAACTGTGATTTTACTCGTGTGTGTGTTTTGCCTCCATTTTACAAAGGACTTTTTAAAGTATGGACACTTTTTAAATGGGCCAGAGTGGGTCCCGCAGCATCTCTGTTCTGGCTCCTGGAAGAGCCTCTGGAGTGGGGGGCCCGGCTGGACGTCCAGGACAGCAGCAGACCTGCACTCACTGAGAGGCTTCGGTCCGTTGGGGTCGTGAAGCTGAGGAACATCGTGGATGCTGCAGGTCCTGGACTCCACAACACCGAGGCCGTGGCCTCTCTGCTCGGCCTGAAGTCGGCCCGCCACACCAGAACCATCCTGAACGAATGGACTAAAAGACTAACTGATGATGAGATGGAGATGCTGCGGGAGTATTCTAACAGGAAGGAAACCCCTGACGAAGGGGACCCTTTTCCAGACATTGGGATTTTAGCAGACCAGGATGGACTAGAACCCAGAACTCATTCAGACATTCACATGCAGAATGGAAAAGGTTTTTATAGACTCTGCACTCTGGCCCTGAACAAACAGAAACTAAGCGAGAGGAGAGACACGGTGTGGAAACAGAGGCTTAACGTCCCGGGGGGCTGTGAACCTGTATGGAGGCTCTCTACAAACCTCCACTGAACAAGCGGTCAGGAGACCTGCAGTGGAGGATCCTCCACGGGGCCCTGGGCGTTAACGCCTTTGTGTCGAAAATAAACCCCACCGTGTCCTCCGAGTGTCCGTTCTGCACCGACACAGAGACAATCACTCACTGCTACCTGGACTGTCACAGATTGAAGCCTCTTTTTAATGTTTTAAAAACTGTGTTTTTAGACTGTGGGGAGGTTTTTACAGAGACTGCTTTTATTTTTGGTGCTGGCTACAAGAAACAGAATGCAGGGAAGTGGGAACTGTTGAATTTTATTGTGGGGCAGGCAAAAATATCAATCTACAAAAGCAGGAAAAACAAAGTGAACAGTACAGCAGGT